TTTTCAAAGCCTAGAGGTTGCTTGACAAACACTTCTTCCTTTAGATATCCATTGGGGAAGGCCCTCTTGACATCCATCTGATGGAGAGTGAATTCCAAGTAAGCAATAAAAGGCTATAAGGAGTCTAATTGCTCCCAATATTGCAATTGGAGCAAGAATCTCATCATAGTCTATGCCCTCCTCTTAACTATATCCTTGAACCACTAATCTTGCCTTGTTCCTTGTAACTGTTCCATCTTCGTAAAGTTTGTTTCTGAAGACCCATTTTTGTGTCAATTACTGATCTGTCCTTAGGTCTTGGTACCAGATGCCAAACTTGATTTCTCTCAAATTGGTTGAGTTCATCTTGCATTGCATTAACCCAATCTGCATTCCACAAAGCCTCAGTAAGAGATAAAAAGGCATCAAAAGCACAAAGATTCTTGAACGAAGATCTAGTTTTGATTCCAGAGGTTGGATTAGTGATTATGTTCTCAATGGAATAAGAAATTTGATACTTGTAAGTTTTCACAACTAGCTAGTTTCCATTAGATGTTTCTTCAATATTTTGTTGTTGAGGAATAGGTTCATAGACAGATTCCCTCGAGGTTTAAGGATCTGTTCCTCTTTGTTTAGTTCCCCCTATCAGGTTGCCCTAGGTGGAAGGCCCTGTTCCATTACATGTTTCTTCCTCTGGTTCAGCTTTAGTCTAGACTGTGAGTTCATTTGAGTTTCTTACCAGCCTAATTGCTTCATCATCCTGTTCCTGGCTCTTAGAAAGAATGTTAGTTTCATCCAAAATCACATGTGCACTTTCTTCTACACACATAGTTCTTTTGTTATAAATCTTATAAGCTTTACTATGTGAAGAATATCCCAAAAATACCCCCTCATCACTTCTGGGATCAAACTTACCTAGGGAGTCTTTACCATTATTGTGCACAAAGCACTTGCATCCAAATGCTCTAAGATGAGATATATTTGGCTTTCTCCTTTTAAGTAACTCATAGGGAGTCTTCTCAATAAGAGGTCTTTTCATGCACCTATTTATGATGCAGCAAACAATATTCACAGCTTTTGCCTAGAAGCTATGTGGCAATTTAATAGAAAGAAGCATAGTCCTAGCCATTTCTTCCAAAGTCCCATTCTTTCTTTCAACTACTCCATTTTGTTGTGGAGTCCTAGGAGCAGAAAAGTTATGATTTATCCCATGCTCATCACAGAATTCAGCAAATTTAGCATTCCCAAATTCAGTACCATGATTAGACCTAATTGATGCAAGTTGATTACCTAGTTGTTTATGAGTTTTTTTAACAAAGGAAGTGGACATGTTAAATGCTTCATCTTTAGATGTTAAAAATATTATCCAAGTAAATCTAGAGCAATCATCAACAATCAACATATAGGATAGTTTTTAATGTGGTGATCCATCTTTCCACACTTGTAATAGCCATTATTGGTTTGCTTCTCAGGAGCCTTTGCTTTGTTGTAGCTTCCACTCCTTGAAGAACCCTTTCCTCTCCTCAGGTAGTTCTTGAAGTCCTTGGTAATCATAGCCATTTCATCATCTTCCATATTAGAACCTTCAGTGATTCTGAGTGCCAAGCTCCTTTCTTTCTTAGGTACATCTATTTTCATGGGTTATCTCCTAAGTTCATAGTCAGTGAGATTCCCAATCAATTCATCTAGTGGGAAAGTGGAAATGTTCTTCGACTCCTGGATGAATGTGATCTTGCTTTCCCAAGTGGTTGGCAAGACCCTAGTAGGTATCTTCTCAACTCTATTTTCTCTAGGAATAATTCTTCCAAGAGATTTTAGTTCATTTGTCAATGTAATGAACCTTCTGTACATCTCTTGAATGATTTCTCCATCCTTCATAGCAAAGTTCCCATATTGAGAGTACAATAGAGTTTCTCTAGATCTCTTCACCTGAGTTGTTCCTTCATGGGCCAGTTGCAGTGTGTCCCAAATTTGCTTAGCAGTGGAACAACCTTGGATTCTGCTATACTCATCTGGATCAAGTCCACAAACAAGCCATTTCTTGGCTTTAACATTCTTCTCCCACTTCTTCAAGTTCTCAGCAGTGCAATCTGCTCTTGTCTTTGGCACATCTATTCCTTCAACATTTTTCCTCAAGGTAGCCAGTGGACTATCAATGACAATGTCCCATAGCTCATAGTCCTCTCTTTGAATGTGATCTCTCATTTTGTTCTTCCACCAAAAGTAGTACTAGCCATTAAAGAGTGGTGGTCTAGCAGTGGATTGCTCTTCCTAATTTTTAGGTGGAGCACTCATCTTGATCTTCTCCTAAGGTGTTAGCCTCTTCAAGGATAACCTTCTCTGATACCAATTGATGTTTTATACTTTAATACCACACAAGAGGGATGATTTGTGTGGTGTCCAATTTTTCGCGTGAATAGATTATAGAAGGACAAGGTTCTTCTATGTGTTCCTTATACTACTGTTGCAGAATATTAAATGCAGAAAGTTAAGAACACAAGTATTTATACGTGGAAAACACATGGCTCAAAAGGTGAAAAAAACCACGATCTACTATCCAGTAGGATTTTTTTTTCAACACTTTACTAAATCACTGAGCCAAAAATAGAATTTACAAAACTTTTTGTAAACCTAAGGATTACCTCTAACCCTTTGTGGCAACCAGCCTCTAGCTCTTATGACAATTTCAAGTTAACTCTAACTTGAATACTATACTCAAAGTACCTAATACAATTGCTTCTAGATAAAGATAAAATGTACAACTCAAAAGCCCTACTATAATGAAACTAGAATAAAAGACAGACACTTGAAACTGGTTCTTCTATCTGGTTCATGTAGCTTCAAGTTTGCACACTTGAATCACACAGAAATTTCTTGCAAAATGCATCGCTATTTTGCTCTCAACTCTGGTTTAACTTCAACGTTTGTGCGTACCTGTAAAATAAGAACATCCTGAAATATATAAAGTTAGTAGAATAGGAAATAACTAGAAGTCTAATGCTTTACACTTCCTTGGTGAAAAAGTTATAGTTATCTTCAACTTCTAACTCCTCCCTTATCTAGGATAGAGTTCTCTTTGAGTAAGGAGTCCTTCTCTTTATCACTTATGTAATCTTTTCGTTCAGGAGATATCAGATATAACCAGTTAAGTTTATCTCCTTTACGTGCATGCATTGTGCTCGAATTTGCTCGTGCCTGTGTCAACTGTATATAGACCTGGTTCATACTTGAGTTCCTTCGTCAATCATCAAAACAAACATCACTTAGGCCAACACAAACCTAACAAGATTTTTTTCTGTTGAGAGAGGGAAAATTGCCAAAATTGCCAAAGAGAAGAAGCCGTTTAGATTCTCTGTGGTTTGAAGCCAAAATTAGACTTTAGTTGTTAGGTTTATGTTTTCCCCATAAGCTTTAAAATTTTCAAAAAGGTCCGGCACTAAACTTAAAGTGAAAATGACATCAAGTAGCCATTTTTATATATGTTATTTAAATATATTCAGTTTACTATGTATTTAAAGATTAGCCAATTTCGCTCAAATTTCAGGATACGACGTCCTAGAGTTTAAATCTCCTAATTCAAACTACACGACATCGTGTCCTAACGTTCGAAAATCCTGTCCAGAAGTTCGAATCTTATGTCCTGAATTTTAAATTTGGAGCTCATATATTCAGGACACTTAGTCCTGAATTTCAAATTAGCAGCTCAAAAAATTTAGAATACTTAGTCCTGAAGTTTGGATGAAGTGGTTAATCTTAAAATATATTGTAAATTGTGAATATATTTTAAATAGTCGGCTTAAAAATGGCTATTGTTGCACTTCGCCCAAACTTATACCTTATCTTAGCATTTTCTTGGGCTAAAAATAAAGAGAAAATAAAAAGGAGTTCAAGAAACGAAAAGAAGACTTGAGCTAAAGAAATCTTCCAAGTCACGCTAGCTAGAATATCTATGGAAGTAAATAATATACTCATATTTTTTAATTAATTCCATCCACCTGGGCTTTCACCTCCCATGGTGTTGGGGATTTGGCATAGACCCCTAACTCATAAGCATGACAAAAAGGAATATACTCCTATTTCAAACTACACAAAGAAAGGGATTTTATTACCCGGTTGCGAAAGAAATGAAAAAGAAAAGCATGCAGTACATAATACGGGAGGAAGAAAACAATGGAAAGCATTCAGAAACAAATTAAGGAAGCCTTTTGCTTCAAACTAACTACGTTACAAAGTTTAAGGAGTAGGCCGGCGTCGCAGAATTCTCAGTGGAAACCATTTCTCATCTTCGAAGTCATGCACGAACCATAAACTGGACTATAACCTTCCACAGCAGGAACAAACCGATACTGTCTCAGCACATTGGCAGCCACCAATTTAATCTGCATGAAAGCAATATCTTTTCCTATATAAGTCCTCGGACCTGCTTGAAACACTGGATAGGTAAAAGGGTCCCTTGGGATAAATCTCCAGTCCCCTCTGCTGCTTGTGCTACCATCTCTCTCCAACCACCTCTCTGGATTGAAATCCGCTCAATTTTTACCCCACAGCTCTGCTGATCTCCCCATTGCAAAAATGTTGTATAAAACACGCGTTCCCTTCTTCACCTTGGTTCCATCAGGCCATATATCATCTTCCATTGCTTGCTTTGATTCTTGAGGGACTGGAGGGTAAAGTCTCATGCTTTCGCAAATGGAAGCATGCATATATATGTCCATTTGCTTGTCTTTCTGGTGATCACTTATTATAATTTCACTGAAATTTGATTTTCCACTTGCGGATTACTTGATACTAACCAAAAGAACCATATTAAAGCTGAACAAAAAGTGTCTTCCGCACCCAATATGTGATTAATAGCCTCATCTATGTAAAAAATTTCATCGATGATATATTTTTGTGATCATCCCTTGCTACCATCCTGTCAAAGAAATCGTCCAATGAATAAGGGTTCTTTGTCAAAAGCTGCTTTTCTTTCTTTTCTTCGATTCTTTTCCTGATAATATAAGAGTGAGATTCTTTCCGGATCAAATATTTAAAAGTTTCTTAACTTTCCATAAAAGTGGAGGGCAAATGCACCTTCCCATGGAGATGTTGATTGCGGTTCTATAAGCGTCTGCCAAGGGTGTATTTAGTAGAACCAATGATGGTAACAAGTAGTGTGGATCATAACCAAAAGCTACTTGACACACCATGTCAAATGTGAAGCGGCGAAAGATATCCTGAAGGTCCAGTACATGATCTTCTTCTATAGCCGATGAGAAGAGAGGAAGAAGACGAGAAGAAAACTCTTTCATAGTAACAGTCTTTACTAGCTGATGGAACGTACTCGCTTTTAACTCGCGGCTCATGAGTTGTCTTTGGAACTTCCATTTCGCGCCATCAACAAGAAAGATCCCATTCCCCAACAAGTCAAGTAAGCTACGTCGTAGAATGACATCTTTCTGGTAGAAATGGAAGCGAGTTTTGATAATATGCTGGACGTTGGACGGGTTTGACGTATAGATACAGCTTCGACCAAAGAGACCTGTTAGGGTGATGGTTGCAGACGATGATTTCGCCAGCAATTCTGTTGTCCAGTCGATAACGCGGTGCCGGTTTTTAATCAATGATAATGTACAACCCAAAAGTGGATAGGATTTAATTGGAAACTGATGATGCTCTGAAGATTTGTGACCTAATGAGAAAAATAGTTATGATGGATATTGAAGAATACTAGAAGTAGCAGAAAGATCATTACCGCAAGGGAAAGCACCATCACGATTATGATCATCTCTCTCTGTTTCTGAAAGTTTAATAGTAATTACTACTACGAGTAGTACGAGTTTTTGTTTTGTTGAATACATAAGCGTCTCGCTCTCTCTATATATTTGCTAAATGACTCTTACAATTTGTCTTCTGTTGCGACTTGTTCTTTTACTTATAAGCTTAAAAGCAGCTTAAGTACTTAGAAATTGGTCGAGCATTCCAACCCCTATCAAAACAGATACTCAAATTAGACATTTTACAAGAAACGAGACGTATAATATGCGAAAAACTATTGCCACCTGTTGTCGATGCCTAAATACTTAAAGTAATTAATTAGATATCCGTCCCAATTGCTTGATTCTTAAGTGATGTTGTTGCTATTTTGCTTTTCAGTGGTATTGTGGCACAAAGGATGGAAAAGATAATCTTAATTTCAAAGTTCAAAATAGCTAGTATAAAAACGTGCGAACGGAGCACGCCCACATTACGTTCAGAGAGTTAATACTAAGTCTGAAGAGTTAAGAGGAACCAAGATTTAATGTTCGTGGGTTCGGAATTCTAATTCTTTTGAGTTATGAATTTTAAATTAACAATTTGTACAACTTCAACAAATTTCTTAAAACAAATACTGGAATTGAACCAAAGTTATTGAATTCGACCGAATCCATAAGCTAAAGGGTAGCTCCTCCCCTGGCTACCGGGGCACACCAGAAAGGTTTCCAGCCGCGTGGATTATATTCACACAGCAGGCAAATGTAATGTGCAAGAACTTCAATGAGTTGATTCTTAAATATCTGCAACTTGTATAAGTCCAAGTCTGCCCTAGAATATTTAAGGTAAGATAATACTAAAGAAAGAACTCTCGAGCCGTCGTCAGTCGAGGTCGACCAGGAAGCAGCGAGATTCGTGATCGTGATGTCAGCAATGGTCGAGGTCGAGTATTGTTGATAAGGGTGTAACGGCTAGTTTTTAAAAATATGATATTATAGAGAATATTCTAGTGAATATTCTCCGCACTTGTACTATTAGGGTTTACTAGGAAAATGCCTCATATAAATAGAAAAAAGATAATGATATGGGGCATGTGACACTCGTTTGATAGGAACAGACTTTTGATAAAAGATTCTCTCTCTTACTAATATACAAATACTACTTTTTCATCAAGATTCTGGTTCATATTATTCCATACTCTTCCATCAGATTTGAGAATACTTCGAACATTCTAGGATTTGTCTGTCACTCATCATTGTCAGGAGGAACAACCATCCAGTTCATCCTTTATTGGGTGAATCACTCCTCCTATTTACTTAAATATCATTTATTGTTATTTATTGCTATTAAATGCTCCATTATTGCTCATACTTCTTGGAATAATTACCGCACGCTACTATCAATCCACCATCAGATATATTTGATATTAGTCACATTTTCGGAACCCACATCTAGAAATATTATTATTAACTAAGTTTAATCCCATCACATAAATTAAATTATATGAACCAAAAGTTACATTCTTTGGTCAAACAATTTGGCGTTGTCTGTGGGGATTTCTTAGTTAAACAATTATTTTCTTCTAGATCTACAGCCAACACAGGTCGCTAACATAAAAAAAGAAGCAAAAACAAGGTCCCCTTTCTTTGTATGCACAAATAACAACATTGCAGGTAGCCGAAAAGAAAGGACGAGGATAATAAGCGACCTCCCAACTATCCTCATGAACGTTATCAACGAAATGTGAAATGGCAGACGAAGACACAACGCGCAATGCCTCCCCTAGGCGAGATGGGTCGCCTCCTCCTCACTACAACATCACAAAATCTTTTTGTAAGGGAGCCTCCACATCTATGGGGGAGGAGACGCCCCCAGTTGTAAAAAAGCTCTTTGAAGCATGGCTAACTGACACACTAACCAACGTCCTAAAAAAGCCCACCCGGGACCCGACCACAAAAAACATAAGAACTTGCACTATACAACCAACAGACGAGCAGTGCAACCAACTCCCTCCTCCAACGACAAGTATTACTCACAATGTCATTAATAGTGCAGGTAACAACGCCCTCGGAGCCATTTTGAAAAAGATGGAGGAAATGGAGACTGAGAACAAGGCACTCCAAGATCAAATGAAAGAACACCAAGAAAGGGTCGATAAAATACCGGGGGCTCCCAAGCTGTTGTCAAAGAGAGGCACCGACCAGTTCGTCGAATAACCGTACAGTGATGATGCAGCCCCACATTCTATACCAAAAACATTTAAATACCGCCCTACCTCAGGATATATGACGGTACAACTGACCCCGAAGATCATGTCACTCATTATGTCATCGCTGTAAAAGGCAATGACCTCGCCAAGGAACATGTGTCTTCCATTTTGCTGAAAATATTTGGCGAAACTCTCACTGGAGGAGTATTAACATGGTATTCGCAATTATCAGGGTGGGAATATCTTTAAGGAAATGGCCGACAAGTTCGTAACGGCCCACGCTGGAACCAAAAAAGTCGAGGCAGGGGTGAACAACATATTTGCCATCAAATACTCTCTAGGAAAGGGATTGAGGGACTTCCTCGCCCGGTTCAATCAAGTAAGAATGACTTTGCCACACGTGTCCGAAGGGATGGTAGTTGCAGCCTTTCAGAATGGGTTGAGTAGGGATGGTTCAAGAGCAACGAGGAAACTGTTAAGTCGGTTGATGAAGTATCCCCCAACCACCTGGGACGAGATCCACAATGCTTATTGTGCTGAAGTCCGTGCAAATGTGGACAACCTCAACGGGCCAACCCACCAGCTAACCTCAGTCCAAATGGAGTCAAGAAAGGATCGAAGAGACAACGTCAAAAGAGATCACCCAATCCCATGGCCTAACAGGGGCCACCTAAACCATACTCACCCGCCCGTACCATCAATATGATTTTCAAAGATGATGCCTCCATCAACAGCGTGAATTTCACCACCATACACAAACTCAAGCGATACATCACTCGCGAACGGTACCACGAACTCGAAGAAAGTATCATCTTCGACAAGTCATATACTGACGATTTCGTCTTTCCTCATCATGACGCTTTCGTTACTACTCTACAATTTTTTGATACTTATGTCAAATATATTATGATTGATGATGGAAGTGGTGCGTGCATCATCCATTCCTGAGTACTTTCCCAAATGAAACTCAAGGATAGGATACTGTCGCACTGTATCACGCTAACTGGTTTTAACAATGCAGTTGTACAGACATCCGGAGAAATTACTCTTCTTATTTTGGTTGGCAGCGTAAGTTTGGAAACAATATTCCACGTCATGAACCAAGACACTACGTATAACGCCATAGTAGGGCGACCGTAGATACCATATGAAGGCCATCTCCTCCAACTTATACCAAGTCATCAAATTTCCTATTCCATGGGGAATATTCAGCATACGAGGAGAGCAGCTTACATCCCGGGAATGCTACCACATTGTTTTAGATAGCAATGCCTCCCAGCAAAGAAAGGACAAAGAAAAAGAGGCATATCAATCAGCAGGGTCGAGGTCGGGGCATGACGAGGTCAGAGAATATATCAAAAATCCCGATGTAGTCGAAGCTATAGGTTCGACCATAGAAGACCTCGACCCCATTCAATTAGACTCCAACGACCACAACAAAAAGGCCTATATCGGTTTCAAGCTCCAGGACCCAGGTAAATTCTGTCAATTATTAAATACTAACACAGATTTGTTTGCTTTCAGCCATGCAGATATGCCGGGCATCTCAAAGGAGATCTCCATGCACAAACTAAACGTCGACCTCTACCACCCTCTGGTGAAGTAGGTCAGGCTAAATTTAACTCAGCAATCAATGATGCAGGGCGCGAAGAAGTGGAAAAACTTTTAGAAAATGGTTCTTATAAGGAAATCGAAGTACCCCAAATGGGTCTCCAACATGGTAATGGTCAAAAACAAGAATGGAAAATGGCGGATGTGTGTAGACTTCATATACTTGAACAAAGCATGCCCAAAAGATTCATTCCCACTGCCTCACATCGACCAACTCATTGATGCAACAGCCAGACATGAGCTACTAAGTTTCTTGAATGCTTACTCCGGTTATAATCAAATCCTCATGGAAGAGGAAGACTAGGAAAAACCACATTCATCACCCACCAAGGAACGTACTGATACAGGGTCATGCCCTTCGGACTAAAGAATGTGGGGGCGACCTATCAAAGGTTGGTGACGAGAATTTTCAAGGATCAGCTCAGCAAGATAATGGAAGTATATATAGATGGCATGCTGGTTAAATCGAAAAGAGGAGAATATCACATCGATCATCTAAAAGAGACTTTCAATATACTCAGACAGTACAGAATAAAACTGAACCCGGAGAAGTGTGCATTTGGCATATCCTCAGGAAAATTTCTAGGGTTCCTCATATCACAGCGAGGGATCGAGGTCAACCCTCACCAAATTAAAGCCATGGAAGGGATACCCGAACTCTTGACCACCAAAAAAGCAGGTCCAAAGATTGACTGGCCATATTGCTGCCCTATCAAGGTTCATCTCGCAGTCGTTGAATAGATGCCAAAAACTTTTTGGCATGATCAAGAAAGATAACGGTCTCTAATGGACTTCAGAGTGCATCTAGGCCTTGAGAGAACTAAAGGAATACTTGTCATTGCTGCCCTTGCTTTCAAAACCTGAGCCGGGGAAACGTCTCCTCATTTATTTAGCTGCATTCGAGGTAGCGGTGAGTGCCATCCTAATTCAAGAAATTAAATGTACGAAATCTCCCATCTAACACATTAGCAAAACATTACTCGACGCCGAGACGAGGTACCCGCACCTTGAAAAATTGGCTTTTGCCTTAGTCGTAGCTTCATGGAAGCTTAGATCGTATTTCCAGTCCCAACTCATCTCGGTCGTCATGACTTTCCCTCTGAGAAGCATTTTGCATAAACCTGAGTTGCTGGGGAGGCTGGCCAAGTGGGACATTGAGCTCAATGAGCATGATATCACATACCAGCCGAAAACGACGATAAAGTCACAAGTGCTCGCTGACTTCGTCAACGACTTTAGGTGAAAATAATGCCTGAAGCCGAAAGGGAACCCCTCTAAACCTTTCCC